ATGCCACCCAAATCTCAGGTCTTGTCCTTCTAACTCCAAAAGCCTTCTATTTCTCAGCAACATCCATTCTTTCATCCAAACCAAACAACAAGATGCAAAATACAATTTCAGATCAGGTAAACCCAATTGTCCTCTTTCCTTTGCATCTTGTAACACCTTATATTTAACTTGTGGCTTTCCCCCTTGCCATACAAACTTAGATGTATCTTTTTGCCATGGTTTAAATGGTACATCAGTTGTCAAAACAGGTATTGTCTGAAACAGAAACATCATTCTAGGCAGAACATTCATCTTTGTCGCAGAAATTCTCCCCAACAGTGACAATTATACTTTCTCCCATGTCCTTTTTATAACTAAGTTAATCCCCATGAAATATATGGCTCTTTTATGTATAATTATACCTGAATCTAAGTTTTCTTATATCTCGCATATTGTTTCAGAAAGTGCAAGTTAGATAAGTTTTCATTAAAATGTGAACCAAATGAGCTTCTTTCCCATCCTGAATGGGTAGATACTCAAAAAGCTATTTTTACAGTCAAAATGCAGTAATAGAAACACACTTCTAGTCCAACATAGCTTGAGATATGGCATATACAGACTGGTTTCACACATCAGGCTAAAGTATTATATGGTTTGCTTGGTTTCAACTGCCTGTGTTTTGTGAATTCAGCCACTGTGGTTGGTAAACCACAACCTTAAAACCTCTCCCAAACTCAGGAAAACAAAAACAACAATTCCAGCTTCAGCTATTTTCTTCAGGCCTGGGCGGATTGCTGTTGACCAGTAAGGAGCTTCTTCACTTGAAGAAGAAACACTGTTTTGACCCTCTCTCTGCCCACTACATCCTATGGGCTCTTCCCAAATGTTAAGTGTAGCCTTAGTCACCAAAAGGTTGCCCAATCCAACCTCAAGGAAACTTCCCTGCTCTTGCAAGAACTGTGTGGATTGATCCCCAAAGTGTTCCATCATGACAAAGCACCAAGGGAAGATCATGAATGTGTAAATTTCATATCTTCCCTGGTAAGGTAAACTGTAATCCAAGCATTATGGATACCTGGTTAAGTTCCGCCGCCCCCCCCACCATTGCAACTATATTTTGCAACTCTTTCCTTTTTTTGCAACTACAGAGTAGTTGTCTTTACTATATGGACCTGTTTTCTTTCACCAACACTATGTATTATCTTTCTTTAGTGTCACATGGAAATGTAAGTTGATAATAACACATTTTAACATAGAATCCCCTAAAGGAGCATTAGACCCAGTTTAAAAACCAATTACTGCTAATAGCTGCTTTCTGTCCACAAGAAAATTTGGAGAAGAAAATGTCCTCCTATGCTTCAAGACATATTTTTAAGTAAAATATGACTTGAAGGTACATTGGGTGTACCTCAACTGTGTTAATTTTGTTACACTGCTGTTGTACAGATTTCTAAGTTGCCAAGGATATTTTAGATGACTTGGGGAGGTGAAGCGGTCTCTTTCCTTCAACTAATACTTGAGGCATGTTGCACAATGAGGATTCAAATTTCATCATATTTCAAGCAGCCCCATGAAATCAATGACATTTAATGTATGGATAATTAATTCAATTGCTTTCAGTGGGGCTAGTTTAAGTATGACTAAATCAAGATTCAACCAAGTACATTTTTTCTGATGTATATCTATGAAAATGTAAGTGCGCAGCCAAAGCAGTATGAGCTGGGGCCAATTGTACAAATGCAACTTCTGTCCCTGAGTTTTATTGTGCTAGTAGCAGCTGTATAAGAATTTGAAAGAGCTCTGGGGTGTTGAGGTTAAGTTTGGCAGAAGGCACTTAGCTCATTCCTCCAAATACTGCCTCTCTATTCAGTAGCTTCTATTCATATTGTAGGAGGAGAGCTGTGTTAATCTATGCTGGCAAAAAATGAGAAGGAGTCTGGAAGCATCTTTTCTGACTAACACATTTTATTAAAAGTCATACGCTTTCATGAGCTGCAGCTTAATTCATCAGATGCGTCTGATGAATGTTTGTGCTTTTTAATAAAACTTGTTAGTCAGAAAAGTTGCTTCCTGATGTCTGATTCTATTCACATAATAATGGAAGTCTCCATGTGCAATGCAAATAGGAGCTCCAGAGTGTTGAAAACTTCTTAAAGTTCCCTGTGGCTGCCATTGACATGGCAGAAAATAGAAACTACATTCATGAAATTACTGATCCCCCCCCGCCCGCATTAACTGAACCTGAGATAAACACATTTTTGAAAGTATAAGCATCATGCAGATACGTTAGTTGCAAAACTGATCCACTGCCAGAAATTTTTGCTTGTGACTTTCATGGTCTGCAAATAGATTCATGAAAAGAATGGGATTTTTAGGCCATCAAAACTGAGAACAATAAATGGAAAATATTTATATCATCAACATCACCATCACTACCACCACCACTATGGAACTGCCAACTTCAAAATAAATATAAGTTTGTTTGTTTGTCTGTTTTGGATCAAAGGATAATAGGACAGCAAGAAGACAAGTAGATTTAAAATGGAATCTTACATACGGAATATTCGGTATTTGGTGTTTAAAGTCTGAGATTTTAGCTGGCTGAAGATGACACATTACAACCCAAACTGGAATATCACACAACAGAATTATCATTCATATTGAAAATTAGTACAGAAGTCAAACACCTCTAGCTCAAATTGGAATATAGTTTTTGAACTACAGGGTCCTTATCTGAAAATCTGAAGAACTGTAAATATGAATAAGAATTTTCCCCAAAGGCTGAGCATTAAACATCTGCACACAATATTCTGTTTGTTTTCTCAGCACAAATGTGGACTCATACATGTTGCAGGCATCTTTTAAAAATCTACCTTACACTGATGTTCTCCAGTCACTAACTTG